TTGAACCGGTTGAACTCCCTATCTATCTCTCTCTCTCTCTCTCTCTCTCTCTTTATATATATATATATATATATATATATATATATATATATATATATATATCTTCCATACTATAATCAAATTTAATATATTGAACTCTTATTGTACTCCCATTATGGATGACCTAAGGGAGTGTATTTGACAAAAATGTTACATATTAGATTACTAGTTGTAAGACTCATGTATTACATGGGTTAATTATATATATATATATATATATATATATATATATATATATATATATATATATATATATATGTCTAGAGATTTGAGAACTTTGAATTTATAAAAAAATAAGAAAAATAATGAATTATTATGATGAAAATATTTTTTATCTTTTAAATTAAACAAATAATTTAAACAAATAAATAATTAAACTAATAAGCTTAAATTGTAAGAATTTTGAAATTAAAATGTAAGTTTATTAATGATGTTGATATTCATTTATTACTATATTTATTGCAATTATTACGACGAAATATTATGTGAAATTTTAAAAAATAAGAAAACTTGTAGAATGACATGTGGAAAAAAATTAATTCAAAATAACCACAAAATTAAATTTTGCAAATTAAATGAGAGTGTGACAAGTGGGAAAAAAAACATTCATTTATTAAAATAGACTTGGTGTAAGACCCATGTATTATATGAGTTAATTAAAAAAATTAAATATAAAATCTAAATATTTAAAAACTTTAGATTTATAAGAAGAAAAATAATAAATTATTAAAATTTATTTTTTTATCTTTTAAATTTAAATAAATAAATAAAATAAACTAATGAGTTTTAATTTAGGAATTTTGAAACAAAAATGTAAGTCCATTAGTGAAATTAATATTCATTTATCACTATATTTATTGTAATTATTATATTAAAATATTATATGAATTTTTTTTAAAATAAAAAAACATATAAAATGATATGTGTGAAAAAGGGCTTCTAGCCCACCGTTATCCAGTGTTGCCCTCCCTCTTTGAGGTTGATAATTCAAGTCTTGTTGTGGACATATGCGTATTTAATGAGTAGTTTAGGACTAGGTTAGATTTATCGTTTCAAAAAAAAGAATGAGAATTTGACATGTGGCAAAAAAAAAACTTTTATTTATTAGAGTAGATTACTGTTCTTATGATTTAATAATAGACTATGACTCTTATTTATGTATACGTTCTTATATATTTTTGTTTTGACTGATTGAAAGGTTATACTAAAAAAAAACTATCAAGGAGCTAGATCGAAAATTTGATACAATAACCAAGGAAACCAGAAGCAATCAAAATCCAAATTACACCAGAAAGACCACTTAACTCGATCGTAAATACCATTAATAACAATAGGAAAATGACTTATTAAGGTAATTAATTTTTTGATATATTCACATCTGGGTAACTATCTTTTTTTTGTACACATTTAGGTAACAAATTTGTTGAAAGTGTTCACATATGACCATTATGATATGCTATAGCAGGTTAAATCCTAGATGTGAATGTTTTCAACAAGTTCGTTACCTAGATGTGTACAAAAAAAGAGTTACCCAAATATTAACAAAACGCAAAGTAAAAATAAATTACACGAATGGTCCCTATGGTTTGGGTGAATTTGTGTTTTTGGTCCCTAACTTATTTTTTTAACTTAGATGGTCTCTACTGTTTGTTCTTGTTGCGCGTTTGGTCCCTGTTTTACCTTAAAAGACTATTGTACCCTTATTAGTTTATTTTTTAATTAATTTTCTTATTTATGTATTTATTTTTTACATATTAAAAAAAAACTAATAGACCTAACATATTTGTATCTCCTCGGATGATCCCTACTATTTATTTTTTATTTTAATTTATTTTTTTAACTCGGGATGATTCCTACTGTTTAATTTTGTTACGAGCTTGGTCTTTGTCTTACCTAAAAAGACTATTGTGCCCTTATTAATTTATTTTTTAATTAATTTTCTTATTTATTTATTTATTCTTTATATATTTAAGAAAAATTAGTAGACCTCACATATTTGTATCTCCTCACAATCTCATCTCTCATCCTCCTCAAATTTTATTCATTTTCCATCTTTAGTGATGTCGACGTCTTCATCATCCCTTCATTTTTCGGTCCTTCAACTCCGTCGAATCAACACCACAACCAACTAAAGATGAAGAGACAATAGGTTATGGTGTTGGTTCGTCAGAGTTGAAGTACGAAAAAAAGAAGGATGGTGAAGACGTTGATGTTACTAAAGATGGAAAAGAAATAGAAGTTAGGGAGGATGAAAGATGGGATGGTGATCGGTAAGACCCAAATTAAATTTCTCAAATGTGGTTTCAGGTTTACGGTGAGGAGATACATATATGTGGAGTCTATTAATTTTTTTAAATATATAAAAAATAAATACATAAATAAGAAAATTAGTTAAAAAATAAATTACTAAGTGCATAATAGTCTTTTTAGGTAAGACAAAGACCAAACACGCAACAAAAATAAACAGTATGGACCATCCGAATTAAATTTCTCAAATATGGTTTAAGGTTTTTGGTGAGAAGATATAGATATGTGATGTCTATTAATTTTTTTAAATATATAAAAAACAAATACATAAATAAGAAAATTAATTAAAAAAAATAAATTAATAACGAGATAATAGTCTTTTTAGGTAAGACATACACAAAAGTACTCTTAACAAAAATAAACAGTGAGACCATTCGAATTAAAAAAATAAGTTAGGGACTAAAAACACAAATTCTCCCAAACCATAAAGATCATTTGTATAATTTATTTTTACTTTTCGTTTTGTTCATATTTAGGTAACTAGTTTTTTTTTTGTAGACATCTAGGTAACGAATTTGTTAAAAATGTTCACATTTAGGATTTAACCTGCTATAACAAATCATATATGAACACTTCCAACAAATTTATTATCTAAATATGTAAAAAAAAAAAAAAAAAAATAGATACTTAGATATTAACATACTAAAAAATTAATTAACGTAATAAATTATTTTTCCAATATCAATAATATCCTTTGGAAAAGATTCCAAGGCCGTGTTGGGATGCGTGTACCAGTATTGTGAGGTCAATGTTGATACTGAGAAAAAGTTAAAGAATCTTATGATTTTTGCTTTTAGCCGATGGAAACAAATGAGAATGATATTAAGGGTAAAGGGTATTATTGGAATTACACCATCAATAAACGATCAGTTATTGGGTATCCTTCTATGACGGATCTACATCAACATGCAATGAGTGATCAATTGTTGGGTAGTTGTTTCTTGATTTGATCATCTATAACAAACACATCATTTTACATAAATTAAGTTATATAACACATATTCAATAAAATAGATTCTAATAGTACAATAACTCTGTTTTGGTTCTTTACAAGATGCGAAGGACTAAAATGAATCAACTAAAAGACTTTGTCACAACTTGTTAGATATTCATATTCCTATCCCTGGTACCGGCATGCTACTTGCATAGTAGATTCAAACATAAATATCCGTCATTAAAACTTCAACTAAAAGGTTAATGTCATAAATATGTAACAAACATTTTTTTTGTTACAAAATATTATAGTACTACTAGAAATGTAAAAGAATCTAACGATTAGTGAGAAGTTTGTTTATATTCAATTATTTTTTATTACATTACTATTTTATATGTGAGTTTATGTTGATAGAATATGTTAGTTTATGCTTATATATGTTTAATTGTATTTATTTATCTCTATTCGTTTAACATGTTCACAAACATAAACAAACGAAAATAAACAATATAATTTGTTAAACAAAAAAACAGAACAAAAAAACTTGTTCATTCATCCGTTCGTATTCGTTTTTTTATTTGGCTTTAACTTAAACGAATAAACATAAACAAATATTTTTTAATATATTCATTCGCTTCATTAAAAGGTCTACAGAATACTATTGTTTTGAAAAATAAATTTATAATTATAAGGTAGGTACTATTAGAAACAAAAAAAAAAAAAGGTATTTCATGAACCAAAATTCATATTTAAAAAAAAGGATAAGGATACATTTTATAAAAAAACAAAAAACAAAAAAGTTCGTTACTTATTTTCGGACATTAACCATTAACTGAACCAAAATGGGTAATTCAACAAGTATCTTGGTTTATCTTGACAAAATTCAAACAATGAAACAAAAATATTAAATTGCAAGATAGATTTTTTATTAAAACAAAAATATGAATGGCCATAACATTTGATATTTGTAGTTACATTTAGAGTAAATTACACGAATGGTCCTTATAGTTTGGGGTAATTTGCGTGTTTGGTCCCTAACTTATTTTTTTTAACTCGGAAGGTCCCTATTGTTTGTTTTTGTTACGCGTTTGGTCCCTACTATTTGTTTTTGTTATGTGTTTGGTCCATGTCTTACCTAAAAAAACTATTATTTAAATAGGGAAAAATGGTGGGATAGGAAAGGTAAGGTGAGAGGGTGAGGTTGGAGGTGTGTTTATTTAAAAAAAATTTAAAAATCAAGGACAAAATAGTCTTTTTAGAAAAGACAAGGACCAAGCGCGTAACAAAAACAAACAATAGGGACCTTCCGAGTTAAAAAAATAAGTTAGGGATCAAACGCGTAAATTACCCTAAACCACAGGGATCATTCATGTAATTTACTCTTACATTTACAAGGTCTATAATCATAGACTTTAAATCAAACATGAATGTGACTAGACAAGTGGGAGATATTATGGGTGATGGTCACTTCAACTAACCCTACTTGTCAATATTCTTGTCCCCAAATTTTTATAAAAAAAATCTTGTCACCCTGTTATGAACCACAACTTTCTCTAGCCATCAATACAATAAAATATATCAAAATCTAACTCTAATTCGAACTTTTATGATAAATACATGATACCAGTATTCATACTAACAAAACAATCAAACATGTATATATAACAAATCTTTCCACAATGTGCAACTAAATATCTCTAACCTCTTGCTAGCCACAAACAATAATATAAAACAGTTGTCATTCACTTTCTACAACTTTTTATTGGATAAAGACATGTTGCATAATAATGCTCTCTTAAACCTTTTTTTTTTTTTTTTTTTGCTACCGGTGGCAACAATTTTCTCTACCTACACAACCATAATTCAGTAGTAATATATCACAAGGGCAAAAAGGTAAATTCACGAGTTCAAGCTCGTGGGTAGCGTGACCGTCCTTTCTTCCTTAGAAACTCGGGGATTTCCACCGAGCCGCCTTCCGTGAAGGCTGGTGATCTTCGGTTCATTCCAGCCACATCTGCCTGACCCCCCTGCTGCATTCAATCATTTCTACTGTTTGTAAAATCCCAAAACTACCCCTAGGGGTAAAATGGTAAATTTGATCCTAACATTTATTTGGTAGTTGAAGTGAGATATACCTGTAGAGTCCTTCCGTCACTTTCTTCTTGCCGCTTGAATCCGGTTGCTATAAGGGTTATGCTAACCTGAACCAATCAATAATAAAAAAATATATATAAAATTCTTTTGTTTTCCCATTAAAGTAAAAGTAAAAATGTTTTTTTAAAAGAAAATAAACTTTACCTGACCACTTATCGATGGATCAATAACTGCTCCAAATATCAAATTAGCACTCGGATCAACAAGATCATATATCACCTCGGCTGCAGCATTTACCTACAAAGTATCATCCCAAATATTATGATAAAATAATTTCCTCTAATTTTTTCATTATTTAGGGATACTTTAGATTTTTTTTTATTAATACTCAAAAAAGTCTTGCATGTGTCCAAGATGGAAATCAACATGAAAACAGATACAAATACACTAATGTCAATTTACTGGCCCACCCAAAAAGCAGGACAGGCGGGACCCACTCGATCTCTTATTTGTACAAAAGACATAAATACCCTCTTTATCCTCGTAATTGGAAATAACCCTATATATATATATATATATATATATATATATATATATATATATATATATATATATATATATAGAGAGAGAGAGAGAGAGAGAGAGAGAGAGAGAGAGACCTCAAACAATGTCAAATCACTACCACCAGTTATATTCCAGACAATTCCAGTAGCCCTCTCGATACCAATATCTAGCAAAGGTGATTGAATGGCATTCAATGCAGCATCTCTAGCCCTAGTCTTCCCTGTTTTTATTTTAGAAATAAAGAAGAATGGACCATAAGGTCAAAATCGTAAAAATACAACCAAGTAGATTTCATTTCGATTTTCGTTTCATACTAACCGGTTGCAGTTCCTATCCCCATTAATGAGGAGCCTGCGTTTGCCATGATAGCTCTTACGTCAGCAAAATCAACATTTACCAGTCCTGGAATCTGCAAATTTCAAACCATCAAATCAACGAGTGACTGGAGTTGAAATTACTTAAATACCCACGACATGAAATCTGTTTTTATTTATTTATTTTAATACCGTGATTATGTCTGAGATACCACGAACACCTTGTCTAAGGATATCATCGGCGAGATTAAAAGCTTCGGTTACAGGGGTAGAAGGGGAAACTGCAGTTAATAATTTGTCATTTGGAATGACAATTAAAGTGTCGACATTTTCCCTTAACGATGCAATTCCTTCTTGTGCTTGAACAGCTCTTCTTCGGCCCTCAAAAGAGAAGGGTGTCGTCACAATACCAACGGTCAAAATTCCCATTGACTTTGCCACACCAGCGATCACAGGGGCCCCACCAGTACCTGTTCCTCCACCCATCCCAGCCTGCATGCATGCACATAATCAAAATTCAACCTCGCATCAGCTAAATGTTAGGGAAAACATACAATAAGCGCATCTCTTTTGAGGTCAAAATAAATTGAATTGGTTTCTATTAAGTATTATGATCCGATTTGTTTTAACCTAAGATAATTGCTCCCTTTTCCTTACAAAAATTGTAGCTTTCGAATAGATACAAAGTTAGATGGATGTGAATCTCATATAGATGTTAAGATTCCAAAATTATCATGCTTGTATAACGTGTACATATACATTACATGGTTGCATTTAAGTTGTTGCATCAAATGGCATTGTTAATCATTATTATCTCCCAGCTTTTAGCAAGTAGCATTTGAAATTAAATCTCCAAATATAACAGAAGTAAAAACTTACAGTCACGAAAACCATATCTGAACCATAAACAGCTTCTTCAATGGATTCTCTACTTTCTTTAGCAGCATTCATACCAACATCAGGATTACCACCAGCACCAAGTCCACGAGTCAACTCTTCACCAATCTGCAACCGTTGCTCAGGGAAAACAGGTGACATTCTCATGGCTTGAACATCAGTATTCACAATCCAAAACTCAACACCCTTCATTTCACTTTCAATCATACGATTAACTGCATTTGATCCACCACCACCAACACCAATTACTTTAATCTTAGCCTCATTGTAGTTACCTGAACTTGTTGAATCTCTCAAAATCTCAGTAACATTTCCACCCAAACTGTTGTCTTTAATCACTGTGTTGTTTCCCTCGCCTCTAAGCATGGAAACCTCTGGATGCAGATTCAGAAACTGATCTTTGTTGTTGAACTGATTGATATTGTGAGAGTTTGCCAAACATCGAATTTGGGGGATATGAGCGATCTTGTGGGAAGTATTTGGAAACGCGTGTTTGTCATCAATCATCTTCAAGGAACTTGCTCTCCCTCCAAAAACAGTTAGTACCCCCATTGAGTTTCGAGCTTCTAAAGGGATTAATGATGGCGGTATACATGTTGTCATTATAGGGTTCCTTGCGCACAAATACCTGGTTTTCAAGCAACACAAAGATGGTTTACTTGCGAAATCAATGAAATTGAATCTATGGTTGTACAAACTAGATTAATACGACCAGGGTAAAATGCAGCACGATTGTTTGTAATGCAAATTGAATTGAAAAACAGCGAATTCGATAATTTAAAGCTCAGATAACAGCGTAAGCGCAGAAATAAGAACCCTAAACATAGATAATTTCAGCAAGACATAAAACAAAGTAAAAAAACCCAAAATGCGAATTGGGTGTATGCACGCATATGAGAAAGAAACACCAAAAGGCAATAGGGTATGTACGAAAATGTGTCTGAACTGAGAGAATGAAAGTCGAAAACCTGTGATAGCTGCGGTGGAGCAAGAACAAAGCGGCGGCAAAGTTGGGAGAGTATGTTGCAGAAGAAAAGGGCTAAAAACGAAGCGGGTGTTAAACGTTAATCTTGAAGTTGTCGTCTTTACTCGCTTCAGTTTGTTAATTGTAATGTAAATTAGAGAGTTGCTTGAAAAATCTTCAAAAGTGAAAAAGAAACAACATTTCTCACATGATATCCTTATCGCCGAAGCCTTTCATTGGTTGGCTACCTACATTTCTTCTCTTTACCAAAATCGACATCGAATTTTGTTTTATTTTGCTTCTTAATTTCATAATATTGCTCCCATTTCATGGATTATTTTTCTTAGTTTTAGTTTTTTAATCATGATTTTAACATTTGCAAAATGTAATTTAGGTTATGTTAATACTAAACTTTAACAAAAATAAATTATTTGTTATAAAAAACTCAATTTCTTGGTATTATATCCATCTCCTACAATTATTTGAAACTAAGAAAATGATGACACAATGTGTATTGTATTGTACCTAGCGTTGTCTTTTAGACGTGTAGATATTTTTTATAAAAATTGTGGTATTTGACAAACATATACTTCAATCAAACATCTCAAATATTTGGTCTTATGTTTTTACTAGTATATGATTAGACATATACTAGAATTAGGGTTTATAGTCTTGGATTCAAAGCATGTACAATAAAGAAACCTAGATCCAAGCTTTAGGGTTTGTATGAGCACATAGGATGTCTTATGACCAAAACCCATCAGAGTTAACCTACAAATTAGAAATTAGATGTTACATGTTGCAAAAGAATTAAAATTTAATAAGCTAGCGGAGGCTTTGGAAGGATATCACGCCAATTACCAAGTTCTGTAAAAGTAAAAAACGAAACTTGCTTATGAGAATGTCGTTCTGGTTGTTGGGAACAAACAACTGAGAAAAGACTTAAGTGAGAGCAGTCGTAAAAAGGATGAGTTGTGCCAACTAAACATGGATTTGCAGATGAGAGTTGATGATGCTTGTGGTCAAAAATCTTCCTTGGCCAAAGCGTTGGAAGACATGAATCAATAATTTAAAGGGTTAAAAACACATTTTACTGAGAAAGTTTCTAGCCTTGACATTGCTTGTTCGGAAAGAGAGGTGCACATCAAACTCTTAGAGGATGAACTGGCTTTATGCAAGGCTATTGTGAAGGAGAAAAAGGTTATAGTGCAAAAGTTTGAGTCTGAGAATGTTGTAGCTAAACAAGAAGTCTTCGTTCGTGTGTCGACGAGGGTTTATATTAATGAAAAGTTGTTAGTTATGAGCTCTCCAACGAGGTAGATTTGTATTGTTCCTTAAAAAATTAATCTTTTTGCTTAGCGTTTGGCTCTTGATAGGCTTCCTACTAGTCATTCTCGACAATCGAGGAGTTGATGTGCCTTCTCTTTTATGTCCTCTTTGTGATGTGGAGGTATAGTCGGCTACTCATTTGTTTTATGGTTGCTTATTAGCTTCTAACATTTTACTTAACTTGGTAGATGTTGGGGTGTTACGTTTCCTAAGCTTTCTTCATATGGAGGATGGTTGGAGTAGGAGTAGTTCAAAAATATTTGTTTATCAGGTATCGAGAAGGAAGTGAATTTCAGGAATATCTTGCTATTTGGATTTCTAAACTAAAAGCTTCGATATTTTTTAGAACATTGTTATGCAGTCTTTATTAATGATGTAGTGGTAAGTCTAAAATAAACATTACATTAATTAGGTTCGATGGCTGCAAAATCCTCACGTTGCTATTATATATATAATATTTCTGTTACTTCCTATCTACCTTTTTGCTTGTCTGGATTTTATAAAAATTTATGCCGTTGAAAAAAAAAACAAAACAAACAAACGATATAATATTTCATAGTAATCGAGTTTAATACATAAAAGTAAAAACTATAGATTATAGAATATAGAAGCTATGATAACAAACAAAATGGTAAATCGACATTTGTTCGACTCAAACATAAGACTATAGGGAATGGAGTCTAAAAAAATTATATCATATTTTTTAATTTATATAATTTTTTTAGCTCTAGCCACAGCTAACATGTCTCTAAGACTTGTTAGTAGAACTGACAAATGAGATGCCATCACTCTACAGGACAAAAGCTAATCTCAAACTGGACATCGTGAATGTTAGTTCGATAATCAATCTCAAAAAATGCACAACATTTGCAGAGAAAGAAAAAAAAAACACTACGAGTGGCAAAAAGGGAACCTATGATCACTATATATAATTCACACAAGATTCGACCACGAGCAACTAAAACTTTCACGGGACATTCGTGATTCGACTATACATTCAACAAACAAATGGACCTTAGAACGCTAAACGTTCCTAATTAGTAGCCCGCACGCTTTTACCCCTTGAGTTTTGCTAAAAAACAAAACAAAAAAAAAAAAAACAACCTATATATATATAATATAATCTCATTATTTCGCACTATATATAGTTCTTATTGAGAAGAAGAAGAAGAAAGCGCTAATCTCCCTTGAGATTCATTTGGCATGCAATCATGGTGGACAACTCGAGCTTCTCCTCAACACCCTCAACTTCTCTTTCGTCTTTTGAGCTTTTGGTAGTGTTTTCATTCTCATTTCTTCAAAAACCTGCACAAAAGTTTCAAACAAGTTAAAATTTTGTCGAAAGAACAAAAGTTGTTTCCAAGAAAGATCAGTCTAAAAGATGTGGACACCTGTTGCGTTCTTTTTCTTTCTAATTCTGCCTGTTCACCATGAAAAAAATTTAGTACTTGGTCCAAAACTTATAAACTTGAGGGGGTGTAAATGAAAATATTCATTTCTTACCAGAGCTTGTTTAAGTTGAGCATTCTCTTCTTTCAGCATGTTCAATTCTGCCTCTAATTCTACTGTGTAAGCCTTCGAAAACATAAACCGAATGAAATCGAGAACAATAATTTCAGAAAAGCTCAAAGCATCCATGATCTGATAAAACTAACGTACCTGTTTTCTAGCTCGAGACCTCGCAGCAGATTCTCGGTTTTTTATCATCCTTCGTTGCCTCCTCTCCACCACTTTCTCTACTGGACCATCGATTATCCGCTTCCGTCCGCCCCTCATGCCGCCCATATCCATGCCGTACTGATTCCCGCCATCGAGCTGACTGTTGGTAATCCCATCGGAAGACACCGGACTCACCGGAGACCCCATCCCTAATCCCTGCCCGTAACCACCTCCATTTCCAACCATACCTCCGTAACATGAAATCGGCTGAGGTTGGTAGGTGCTGCTCCGTTTTCCACCTCCGGGGTACCCTGGGGCCTCCCTAATGAGCGGTGAGTATGGTGGGATAGCGGTGGCACCACCTATAACAGGCCTTCCCATGTGAGCTGAACCAGGCGGAGGACCAACAACACGGTTGTTTCCGTTGGGATACAACCCAAAAGGTGGCGGGGGTTGCTGCTGAACTGGTGGAGCATTCGGATGGTTCTGTTCCCGAACTACCCCCGCCTTCACTAAGAAATCCTCAAGAGTCATTTCTCCATAAGTAGGCTGACGCTGGGCTGACCCGGGAACCTGAGCATTGCCGGAGTTATTTCTCTCTTGTTGGTGTTCATGTTGTGTCTTTTGTATCTCCGACCAGACTTCATCGACGGTTTTACGGGAGAGTGGGCCCGGAAGAGTTAAGGAGCCTTGTCTAGGCAAGCTGTGTTGCTTAACCATCATATTCTGTTCGGCTGAACTAGTGTTGAGTCCCATCAAGAACTGTCCGCTACTGGTGGCGCCACCATTAGTAGCCATGGCGGCCGGAGTGGCGGCAGCTGGAGGATGGGCGGCTTGTCCATGAGCCTGGTTTTCTTCAGCTGTCCAAATGCTGTTGAGGAACTCATCCATGTTCATTGACCCAAAATTCTTTCCACTTTCGCAAAGAGTGTGTTGAAACTCATCTAGAGTGAGAGAATAGATGGAAGATTGGCGACCCAGCTGTGGCACAAGGGCATTTTGGACATTATTATTTCTAGCCTGGTTTTGATCGGCGGACTGCAATGGGGATTCAACTTCGCCGGGAGACATGATTTCGGATTCTAAAACCACCATTCGTTTTAATTATCGGTTAAAACGTCGATCCACTGTCGAATAGAAAAACAAAACTACAAAACATCAATCAGAAATAACAAATCCTGTCGAGTCTTTCTAAAAAACCTTTTTTGAATCAAAATATCTACTTTAACCCTAATGTGTGGTCCTCGGATCGTTATTTATAAAGGTACATAGTGTGATTCTTAATCGGACCATATATAACCATGGATTAAAGCTTTCCATAAGTACACATCAGAATCACACCGATTGATTTGACCCATACAACATAATCAAGTAACATCTTTTGATTACTTGCAAAATACCTTAAATAAACCGCCTTCGAGGTAATCTTAACCACCTTATTAGTAAAAATACCACATAATCAAGATCTTGAAACTTACGAATCAGAGATGATTAAGCACCAACTTGATTAGCAAGTCATAATTATAAGAGCAAATAACAGATCCATTAATTAAGAGCATTAAAGATTTGTCATAAAGATTCAAGTGCATGCAGATACCTTCTATGGTGGCGATCAGTAGATCTAATTGCAGGATATCAGGTCAAAGTCTAGAATCTTGAAAACGCCTCATTGGTGATATGAACAACCTCAAGCATGCTCAAGTTTTCCAATTCTGGAAAAAAAAAGGATGAACACTATTAGCTAACTGATCTAGTAGCTACCATATTTATATATATAGTTATACCTATAGAGAGAGAGAGAGAGAGAGAGAGAGAGAGAGAGAGAGAGAGAGAAAGTATGTAAAGGGGGAATCGGAAATTGCAGAAACTTGCAGTGGTAGTGTTGAAGGCAAGAAAGGGGAGGGAGGGAGAGAAGTGGGACCCAGTGAGGGTAGAAAGGTCAAATACGATGTCGAACACAGCAATGGAAGATGAGTAGATGTAGTGCTGCCATCATGGTAAAAGGTTAGAGGAGGACTGCAAATTTCATGCAAAAAAACAGCAATGGGAGGAGAGAAGATGGTAGGAAGAGGGGTATTTTGGGAATACGGAAATGCTCTTCGATTGACACGTCTTGGACAGGTGTCTGTTTGTTAGCAGCCTCGTATTCTGTAGCGTGCTTTGTTTTCTTCCACGTGTCCTTCATATTTCAGACAGCATAATCGACTGCTTTTTAGATACGATGTGTTTCAAGCTCCTATTGTTTTCTCAATTTCATTTGAATATTTCTTTAAAAATGATTGGTGTTTTTCTTATTTAATTTAAGAAAAGTGAAATCTGACTTGTAAGATGAGATTGAGAAAATATGGTGAAAATGAACAAACACATGATATAACGAAATGCAGTTTTAGATACCCCTAAACAAATTACGGGTAAAATATGTTTGGGAAATCTACACAAAAGTTTTAAATTTTTGAAAAAAATTTTAGTAAAGTTTTAAAGTTTTCTAATAGAAAATTTCAATTATTTGTAAAAAAATCATATAATTTATCATTTGTTGTTCAAATATAAAAAAAGATATTTTTCGCTAATTTAAACAAAATATTAAATAAGCGAGACTTTTCTGTTTAAATAAAAACTTTTAGGATTTTATTGGAACTTTTTCCAAAAATTTGAGAACTTTTTATAGATTTTTTAAAATATGTCAATAATAACATTTTTTTTTAATTTGGTTTAACTATATAATTTTCATTCAATTTTTAAATCATTTTCATCAGTTTTTCTATTTTCAAAAAAATGAAAATCACAATAAAACCATTAAATTTCCAGAGTTTTAATATTTTATAATAAAATATTGAAACCCTATAAGGCTGGCCGGATGGTGTGGGCTCGGCAACCTCGACGCACACCTGGCCGATCCAGGGTCGGTCCAAACGTATATGGAATCCGGGGCAAAAAGAAAAAAAAGGTCACTCAAAAACAAATATAATAAATATTAAAAAAATATCATTTATTATTCGATATAGGCGTGTTCAATTACCAATAACAAGCAAGCATAAATGTTTATATTTTGAGTTAATTTGAGTTTGAACCAACTTTACGCATTAAAAATCATTTAGGTAATAATATCTTATATATATATATATATATATATATATATATATATATATATATATATATATATATATATATATACAAACACACACACACACTACATAACCCACAAATTTTGGGGCCCCTAGAGACGTGGGCCCTGGGCGGTCGCCCGGGTTGCCCACTGTCTGGACGGGCCCTAGGCCGACCCCTCGGTTTGTTTTCTCAGTGAATTAATGTCGAGTTTGAATAGACCAATGGGGTGGTTGCAACGGGTATTTCCATTTTGTTTAAAACCTCCTACAAATACTATAACTTTAAACCATTTTAACTCATCAACATCAATTTACTACTCATCTCATCAAAACATAAGTCACAGTGTCTCAAAAACATTAATATCAGAGTTTTCAAATCATAACATCAAAGTAAACATCCCAGACTAATCATCATAGTGTGTGCAATGTAGTCATCCCAAGCTCTTCTTTTTACAACTGGAAGTACTTGAAACCAAAACTGAAAACCGTAAGCACGAAGTTCAGTGAGTTATGTATACTACCATATACAATACACGTAACCACATATACTGGGCCCCTGCCCCTTCTTCGGTCCCCGCCCGACATCAGACAGGATCCGACATCAGGCCCTGCTTGGCATTGAGCCTCACTCGATATATAGATCTGTTTCTTCCAAAACCCGCTTCTCACTAGGCCCCGCCCGCTATACACATACAAAAAATATCATATAATCATACTAGCACATAAAGAATCATACACAATACTACATGTTCTAGTTCTAAGGCCTCGCCTATCATGGGGCTCTCCCCTACTCTGCTAATGATGAGATATGGGACCTCACCCACACTCAACTAGTGATGAGATACGGGACCCCGCTCACACTCACCTCCATACCAGACACATACAAGTATCACATAGACAACAAGTATAACTAAACATGCATACATTTCTCGGGTACCACCCAACATCGAACCGTAGTCTGGAAATCTACATATAAGCATTCACTAGGCCCCGCCCGACATCGGATCGTAATCCAGTAACATACAAATACAGACACATGCAAGAATCACAAAGACATCAAGCATACTAATATTCCTTGGGCACCGCCCGACATCGGATAGAAATCCAGAAAACATACAGCCATACATACAGGCCGACATTGGTGCCTTCGACCCGTTCAAACAAGACGAAACTCACCTCAAATGTCGGATGAAATCTGAAACTTCTCTGCCGGAATCAGCTCTACTCACTCACTGAATCAAAACAACCCCTTAGATACCATTTTGTGCTCATAACCCTTTAGGGTCAACTGTGGTGAAAGTCAAGGTCAAAGTCAACACTCCGAGTTGAATCAACTCGTCGAGTATACTCCTCAACTCACCGAGTTCCCATAAATCACAGAATCCTGAAATCACGATCCAACTCGTCGAGTTCCTTTGGGATACTTCAAATCAACTCATCGAGTTCCTCAATCTGTTAACCATTCTTAATGCATTATGGCATTTCTCTCGAATCTAACAGCTTCAAACCTCAGGTCCTTTCCATTAAGATGTCTAGAAGGGTAAAGTTTCCAACTTTACCCTCAAGAACCATCTACTAAGCTTAAAACTCAAACCCTAGTTTCTTTAAAGGCGGTCTTGATCCATTAAGCCCCTAATGTAACATCCCCAAACTTACAGTCTAAAAATTTCGTTTTAAATTAATAATAAAACCTTAGTCATCGAAAATCATATAAAAATCATAAACAGTGTATCTCAAAATATCATAACAGTTGTCAAAATATCAGAGTATAAACATCCCTGTCTAAACAGATGGTGTGTACACTTCAATCTTCCCGAGCTCCTCTTTTGAAACTGAGTACCTGAAACCAAAACCGAAACTGTAAGCACGAAGCTTAGTGAGCTCCCCCAAACTACCACATACCATACAATAACATATAAAGCAACCACTACTGGGCCTTGCCCACTGCATTGGACAGAAGTCCAGAAACTGCATCGGACCGACCTCCGAAACTAACCAGGGCCTTGCCCTCTGCATCAGACCGTAGTCCGAAAACTGCATAGGACCAAAGTCTGGAACTAACCAAGGCCTTACCCTCTGCATCGGACCGAAGTCCGAAAACTGCATCGGACTGAAGTCCAGAACTGACTGAACATAGCATAGCATAATCATAACTACTAGCATAAACATATATACTGCATACTGCATCGGACCGAAGTCCAGAACATATAACACAATGACATGCTTGAATCACAAAGACATCAAGCATACTGAACTACTACATTAGAGCTGAAGGGTTTTGAGCATTCTAACACTCCTAAGTGTACATGCAACCCTTGAAAACCTTGGATCTATGTTTGTCTAAAATACATGCAAAATATGATTTCCAAGGTTCATAATCCTATCTAGCATACATGGGGAACTTTTAGACTTAAATATGGATAGAATTACATACCTTGTAATTGATTTGATTCCTTGAAAACCTTGAGATCCTAGCACCCCAAGTGTGATGCCTCAAATGCTTCACACAACACCAAATGCTTTGGTAATGACTTTGAGAGAATATGTAACACTCTAAAATCAGCCTAGCCCTCTTGTATCTTAGTGTGTTCGATTTTTGGTGAGAACATGTAGCTTATATAGTGTGTCACATCTAGGGTTACACCATGTAAATCCTAATGTGACAAGACTCTTCATTTCCATGACCCATGGGTTTGTAACTCCCATGAAGCATCCTATGGGTCTAACCCAACTTGACAATCCATGGAGCCTTAAGCCCACTATACAAATATGAGTGATTTACATAATCAACCCATATATTTAATTAGTCATCTTTTGATCACTTAATTAATTCCAAATTAATTCTTGATCAAGACTAATCAAATAATACTATTAATATATTAGAACTTATAATATATTAATAAACCACAAGTGTTATTTCTCTCATTTAGTCTATCCAAATGCATGATATCATGCGACCCAAATGGACCATGCCGGGTCGGGTCAAGTACATACCAAATATAGTTATGGACTTAGACACCTTATCCAACAGTCTCCTACTTGGATAAGTCTAATAACTATATCTGCAAGTATGACTTTAGGAACCGACCAGCAATCGTAGCTCTTTTCAAGGTTTCTTGGAATTGAGAAAATGATGATACGCCATTTAAGATAAGTGATCATATAATCCTCTATTCTAGAATCATCCGGAAAAATACATGGAACAATGTTTTTCTTATTTTCCAGCAGTTTGTTTCTCGATTTCCGATTTGTTTGACATGGAACTAAATTGAACACATCAATTCAATTCTGACCGGGCCCGGTACATAGGTCAAAACAAAATCATCGAGGGGGACCAGATATCACTTCTAATCCAAGATGGAACAGATAAACTTCGACTCATATGCTTGTTCTACTACTTGATAAATCACACAAAAAAGTACGTTTTATAACATCGAGTTACCAATACGTTTTCGTACGATCAATGCATAACCAACTCATAGGCAACATGTCATATCTCTAGGTTTGAAGACTTATATGATATTACCGTCTCACGATCACTCGAGATAAATTCCATGAAGTGATACCAGTAAGCGTGGATTGATTCCAATGCTTTGAACTTATGAGCACTCATGAGTGTTGTAGCCATGTCCAACAACTTAGACCTCTGCAACCACTCATGACAGTCTTGATTCATACCTACTTCCAACATATGGCTGACTGTGGAGGTTCGAATAATAAGATATACC